ATCCAGCACGAGGGCCCTGCCAGGGAGCCAGGCCAGGAAAATCAGCAACCCCCCCCGAAGCCGCAGCACCCCCGGGCTCCAGGCTTCGCAGGGGATGGAAAGCAGAGGGAGGCCGCAGCGCCCAGTTCCCGTGGCTTTATTTCCAGCATGCGTACGCGTACCAGGTGAGCGATCTGTCGCCATTTACAAAGCACACGGCACGACCACGCACGAGCAGGGTGGTCTGACTTTATAAGTTACATCTTCTAGCCTCCACAAGACCTCGAAGCAGCAGACGCATCACTGCTAGGTATGTGATTCTAATCAGCAAAGTTACAGGCAAGGTCTCCTCGGTGACACTGAAGCTATTTTTCTGGCCTAATCCTGCACGTGGTGACTCCTCGGTGGGACGGACACAGCTGCCTCGTCACCCGCCCTCAGCCCTTAGTTCTTCTGGTAGTAGAACCACTTGTCAACTGCGTGGGGCAGGAAAAAATAGAAGAGGGGGTTAGTCGTCTGTCAGCCACCCACTCACTACGGAGCCACAGGGCACTGCAGGTGCGACCTCCAGCGCGTGGGCTTCCTCCAGCTCCCGCCAACAGCTCCACCACACACCCGGGTGTGTGTATTTGTTCTGAAGAAGTCACCCTTGCTTGGTCCAGGTGGGGACAGCAGGGCAGAGCTGGCTCAGGGAGGTAAAGTCATTTTACCCCAAACTTCCACACCCACACAGAAGACACCGGTTTCTTTGCAGGTTTATCACCCACGAAGAGGCTGGAAGGACAGCCTAGCTCCTCTCCCTGCCGCACAGCTGTGGGCTCTCAACACTCGCGCCTGCCCCCAGGTCTTGTCCCTGCTACAGAGACATCCAGGCTTCGCGTGCAAGGCACCTGTCACCACCTCGCGTGGAAGCAAGAGGCAACAGCCGAGCGAGGATTCGTCCCACAGCTGTTGTTTTCTTACAGTCGTGTCCCGAGGCATCAACAGGCTCGTTACCAGCTCGCAGCGGACACTCGCTCAGTGACCGATCTCTGATCAGTGGGCTCAGCAGCAACTGCAGCACTGAACGCACAATGAATTTCTGCCTCTGCTCCGTGCGGGCAGGGGGCAATTCCCTTCCTCTGCTCGCCTGCACCGAGGGTACTACAGAAACCCCCGTTCTGCAGGAACTAATGAAACCGCTCTCCCGCTGTCACTGCTCTTCAGTCCTCTTCTTTGAGCACCTGCTATAAATCAGATCTCTTCTGGAGCAAACTAAGGCACTTCAGGTCTCCTACTTACCACTCACGTACCCAAACAAGGAGCTAAGGCAACAGCAGAAGTTCTTCAGGAACTCAACAGCATTACTGACACAAGCGAGGTTCAGCAAGGCCCTTCGTTTCTCCTAGTGCCAGAGCCGTACCCAGCCACCAGTTAAGACCCTCATTTTCCTATCGGTAATTCCTTTGAGGAAGCCTCTGCTCCACATCAGAACATAAGCGTGGGTTTTGAGACTTACCTTCGGGTGGGATCGGGTTGGCAGCTTTACACGGTGGTGCCTGAAAGGAGAAGTGTATTAGCAGATAGCAACTGCTGATGGAGGATGACCTTACACCTGAGGCTCACCAGACATCACCGAGAGCTGCACAAGTCCTTACTGAGCACAGTTTAAGATCTAGGCAGCATGAGTTGGTCTGAGGCAGCCAGGGCTGGTCAGCTGTGAGGGCATAAATGAGCTCACGTGCGGCGTGAGTCCTGTCATGCCCACAGCCTCCTCATGCCGTAGATGTCCTACATGCCGAAGGTGCTCTGCTCAAAGCGCAGGCTGCAGTGCCATCTGCTTCTCACCACAAGCAGCTACCGCTCCAGCGTCTACACAGTTGCAGGCAGTCTGCTTTTTTTTAAACCTACAATGTGATGGTGGAATAGAAGTACAAAGGACTCTCAAAAAACTTCTCTGCAGAGCTTTCACCCGACATTTTAGCAACCAAAGACAAACAAGGGTCCCTAGCTGGTGACACATCCTCCATGAGGCTTACGCTTTCAAAAACTTACACAGTAATTCAGATACCACCAGAGGATACAAGCTCTTTTAAAACCAAGATGATGACAGAGGGCTATGGAGAGACTCTGCTTTCCAGTCACATTTCCATACACTGAGGCAACATTTGCATTTTGATTTTCCTGTCCCATTCCTCTAAGCACTTTCAAGTTGCCGAGAGCAGTACTTCACAAGCCTGGGGAGATGCAGTTAAGTCCTGAAACTGGACAGGAGCACTACACTGGGAACTTCAAGCTTTTCACTGCAAAGGGTGCAAGGTCCCTGGCTGCAAGGCTCTCAGAAATTAGATTGTCTTTTCTCAAAGGGGCACCTGTACTTTGAAGCTCCTGGAAGGCCAAATATTTAAACACTCCCTGAACAGCTGACAGTCAAGCTACGGTTCAGAAGTTTAGCTCCTCACGCAAACTCTGTTTTGGATTCCATCTCCCAGATGACTATGGGCAAGGAGAAGCCTCTGGAGGAACGTCTGGTTTGCTCCACACCCATCTTATTTAACCAGAAACAGGTGCTACGTTCAGTCATCCAAAAAATTCTGAGCATACAAAGCACTAGTCACACAGCGAGGACAGTTTACGGTACCACACAAATCGCATCGTTTTGCCTGACACTGAAGTTGGGGGTAGGACACTGAGATTTGTACTTACGGCATCCACAGTAGCTTTTGCACACTCTTGACTACAGCAGAACGGGCTGTCAGACACCGTCAGATTTGTGCTAGAAGAGAAAGGCTGCTTGTGAGAACGTGAAAGCCAAGTCTCTCCCCCAAGAGCATTAAATAATGGAACGCTAAGAATCACTGTTAAAGTCGCCAAGTTGAAGGGCAAGGCCTACAGAGACAGCTAGCAGAAAGCACGGCAGCACTCAGGAAAGGAAGTTTCAGGGTTATTTGTTCAGGGGAAAGGAACACTCACAGTACCACAAGTATTAACCTACCAGCTGATCTCCCCTCCGTCAGTTTTCTTCGCTATTAAAGCTTTCCAGTGTTCATGAGTACATCTGATGACGTTCAAGGCGAAATCCTAAAATTGGAGATGAGAACAAACATCACATTATGTGTAAGCACTAGACCGCCTTCTCCAGACTATCAGTTACATGCAATGAGAGGCCAGTACTTATAGGCTGACTCCTGACTCTGGAAGGGACTCAAAGAGACTGCTTTCGTTACTGCGCCTTTGAGAAACAACAGCAGCCTCCCAGCGTGCAACAGCTGAACAACAGGTATTTTACAATATGAATTGTTTTACTTTCAAGATGGGAGAATATGCCAAGGTCGCCTCGTGAGCTTGAGGCCAAAAGAAACCGAACACAGATACTTTAGTCTCGGGCCAGTGCTATACTATAAAAGCATCTCCACCCTGCTGCTCTTCCCACTCAGTTTGTCTCCAGCAGCTAGCTGATCCCGACCTGTCTGTGAGCTGTCATCACAGCTTTTATCCTTCAAAAAAAAAAATAGTAGCATATGCTCAAGCATTAACCTGTCAGCTGGAGAAGGAAGTACACACAATTCTTTGTTAGCACGAACACCAGCAATAAATATCCCGGTCTGATACCACACAGAGCCAAATAAAACACTGCAGGAACATGTGCGAGGCTCTTTGTCCCTATTTTCCGCCTTGGCCGTGATTCTGGTTTCACCCATCCTGAGGGGCAGTGAGATGACGCAGCCCACCCAACCTAGCGCCATGCTACAGTCAAAGGGGACAAGCCCACTCCCACGTGACTTCCATCTTTGTCCCCCCAACGCCTTCCTCCCCTTCCCACACCAGGCTTTGCAGGCCCTCCCCTTCTCTGCACCAGCTCTGGAGCTGAGTCACCTCACTAACCCACTCAACGCACACCAGTACCGGCAGGAGGGAGGGCGCAGAAGCAGGCTGTCTCCCTTTCAGGAGCAGTAAGTTATCTGACCCAACCCAGAGAAGAGGCAGAGAAGTAACGCTGCCAAGGCACAGCCTTACTCAAAGGGCGTGAGGGAACACTTTATGCCTGAAGGAAGAAGCATTTTAACTCCTGAGTTCACTTCAACTTGCACCAGGCTGCAAAGGAACAAAGCCAGTAAGCAAGGGAGGCAAAGGGTGATGTCAGGCACTCTTTGCTCCAGAGCAGGAGAAGATAAACCTGGTGTTTTCCATCCTGGTTCTGACATGTAGGCTCTCAGCCCTGAAGTGATCCCACATGAACGTCATCTAGAAGAAAAACTGATAATATCCAACAGCAGCAGGGTGAAAACAATTCAAAAAACCTTTTTCTGCCAGTATTCCTGCAAGCACTGAGCTGGAAACAAGCAGAACAGTAGGCTGGAAAAACAGCAGGAAGAACAAAGTCAGCAATCAGCAGTCCCCTAGAAATCCATTCTCTCAGCGACTACTCATTCGTGTCCCCACGCACCTTCAGCTCAGGTTTCGGACAGCGTGCCTTTGCACGGTCACAGTGACAAAGAAAGGCCATCCTACCTTGTCTTTAAATTCACCATTAAAAGCAAACTGGTTTTCTGGCTTTCCATCAGGTACTTTGTATCTTCTGAACCAGTCCACGGTAGCTTCTAAGTATCCAGGTTTCATCCTTCTGACATCATTGATATCTAGGCAGGGAGAAAAGGATTGCTAGCCAGATCTAGAGACAGAAGTTACTTAGCTACTACTCCACTCTTCTGAGCTGCTTTTCTTTCAGGCCCTCCTCAAGTAGCCTTAGCAACATTTCAGACAGGTTACAGTAAAGACAGAGAGTGGATATCTGCGCAGGAAAGTTAGTGTTTCATCTCACATCACACCCTGATTGCCCCAGGACCATAGACACTTTTAAACAGCTTTGATTAGAGACTTATTGGACAAGCCCTTTCCTTACACTCAGAGGACAGGCGGTACAGCCGCCCTCTTCCTCGAGATGCCAGGCTGTGCAGAGGACTGACAATTTGTAATAAACAGCTGTAAAATGTTTTGCTATAGGATTGATAACATCCTGTTCTGCCGTTGTTCCAGTATCACATCTGATCAATACTGTGGCACAGAAGGAGCAAGCCTGTGTCCTGACTTCAAAGTTTCCTGCATGCTCTCAACAGGGAAAGGGAAGTACTAAGCCTGCTCCTCCCTCCTGTTACTTACCATTATAGTTGTCTGCTTCAGGGTCTTCAACATCGATAGCAATTATCTTCCAGTCTGTCTCTCCC